CATGCATAATCTATTAACTTTCGACCTATTCATTTGAAGTTAAATTAAGCGTGTGACTTCCTGCTCCTGTTTTATATGCTGGAGATTTTGCACTTTGGCTGCCTACTTATTATGACCATCTTTCATTCCCATCCCTTTTGCCCAGGTGTCTAAGAGTGTTACTTATGACTTAAAATTACAGTCTTGGAGACAGATGACGCCTATAAGTGCCCTTTAAGTACCTATTGTTGAGGCAAGGTCTTTCTCTCAACAAAGTTACAATTGTCTCATTGTATTGTTTTAGGAAGTTCATAAATATGGTTCTGGGAGATACACACATAAACATATATATGTACATATATATATATATATGTATATATATGTGTGTGTGTGTGTGTGTGTGTGTGTGTTCAGTACAGTATACAGTAAAGGAGATTTTTAGGTGAAACTTAGTCTCAAAGCTGCATATGCACATTTTGCTTTTTAAATTTAGTTTTATCATCAAGTCATTGTATAGTGCTGTTATGAAAATGTAAACTTTGGAATTTTACTTAAACTTAATATATATATATACATATATATTAATATAATTAAGTAATATAAACTTAATATATGATATATGTCAAGTAGAGAGAAAATGTTTATTAATTGTAAATTTTATACCAAATAAGACTAGTAAATGTAGCAAGATGGAAAGACAACCAGAAATACCCATCATTTCATCTTCTATGGACCCATTCATGCTTAGAAATAATGGTCATGGGAATTTTTATATAGTATTAAAACATTTTAGCTTAGTATACATTATATAATGTGTATTTAATGATAAAGGTTTGGGTAAATGATCCTTTCATTTTCTGTTCAGTTTTCTTTTTCAAAAATTAGCTTGTATGGAATATTTATATTCTTCAAGTAAAAACTTTAAGTAATGTATTGAGTATTTTGTTCATATTCAAATGGCTTATCATAAAATGAAAATCCAGTTTAGGATATTATGTTACAATAATAAAGCAAAAATGCATCCCCATGTGTTATATTTTTCCAGACTTGGTTGAAATACTATCAGTTAACTATATTTTGTATTTAAATAGTAAGGAGAACACACTGCTGGCTGGAATGGTTTTCCACTGCTGTAATGATAAGAAAGTCTGATTTCTATACGCTCCCCTTGGCCCATTTATATCGCTACAGATATATAACTTACTGTTTAAATCCATTGAGTATTTTCTGGTCCATTAAGAGTGTTTGCTAATTAAATTTAGGAAACCAACAGTAAATATACCTCCTTCCATTTTCATCTTTTATTCTTTCAATTTAAATAACCCACAATAATCTGTAATGCCAGCATAATCAAAACATTAAGAAAACATAAAGATTCACTTTAATTTTATATTAGCTACAGTTACTTCTATACTTGGTAATGAAACTATTTTTACATTTTTCAAAAACTATTGTTTTCCTTATACCTTGAGGGAGATAATTGCAAACTTTAAGTTCTTTTCATTAATTTCATGGTACTCTAGAGTAAAACAGAGAGAAGCAGAGGTAAAGTTTATTGAAACTGCATTTTCGTGCTACATCAGAAAGATGAAAATGGAATACTCACTTGCTTTTTAAAACATGTATTGAGTAAATAATTGAAAAGCTCATGTTGTTTAAATGTGCATGTGGTACTTAGGAGACACACAGAACATTAGGTTTTGAGGATGGAGATGTGTAAAAGATGCCTTGTCCTCACATGAAGCTACTTTACTTCTCATAAAGGTGCATTTCACAAGCAAAATAAACAAAATAGGAAAGAAAGAAAAAGAGGACAGTAACTGAAATTAGGTTCAAGGTCCTGTTTATCAACCCTTAACTACCCTTTAGTCTAGAATTTGCAGTTTGTGTGGACTAGAGGATTCTGGGTCTCTGTGATAAACTTAATTAATTAGCTATCTTTAGAACTTTAGTGTTCTTTGTCCTTTTATGTGTGTCACCTTTTTGTAAATGAGTTAGCTGGAGTGATATGGATAGAGTGTGAGGGATCCATATAGTATCTCCCTGAGAATTTTCCTTTCTCTGACTCTCCATCCCCTCTCACCTTTCATGACCTTTTTAAATTTGTAAATGAATGACTACAGTGTAGTCAAGGAAAAGACACTGAAAGGTTTCTCTGTGTAGCTTTGGAGCCTATCCTGGCACTCGCTCTGGAGACCAAGCTGGCCTCGAACTCACAGAGATCTGCCTGCCTCTGCCTCCTGAGTGCTGGCATTAAAGGTGTGTGCCACCAATGCCCAACAAGACACAGAAAGTTTTAGCAAATAAAATTGTTTGCTTGTAACCATTTCTTACTTGTTCTCCAAAGCCTTCTTGCTCATGGAATATACTCCTAATCTAATCAACTTGGGTTCTTTGGGTTTGGCCATGAGACTTAGTATAATTTGTGGAATGAGAACAGAAATTGATTCTATGCCAACTTTGACCCAAAAGGAATTTTGCACCTGTTTGCTTTCTAGTGTTCATGCATTCCCCAATTGAGAGGGTGGGGCATATGCCTGGTCACAATAGTTACTACATGATGAGACATAAGGAGCAAACTAAAATATTCCACAGTCTAAACCCAAGGCAAGATGCTGAAAATTCAGTCAATCTCAGAGAAGCCTAGAAGAGAAAAAGATAATTCATAATTTCCTGTGTAAGAAAAATGTCACAAAGACACACAATTTTGTTGTTACTTGTTATATAGAGTAATTACAATGAAATAAGACATAGACAATCCTTAGGGCCAAGAGTCCCACTCACAGTAATTAGTGTTAAAAGATAGTTTGGATGAACTTTCTTTCAATCCAGGAATTTTCAGACACTTGCTGAGGTTGTACTGTGATAGATACACGTGTATGCCGGAAAAGTAGATGTTTTAGGGTTCATATCTGAACTAGATCTTGAGTTAAAATCATGAGTGACTAGTACTAACTTTTCTTTTGCTCATGATGCACACTAGTGCCTCTCAAGAGTGACTGCTTTTCTAGTTTTGAAAACTGATAACACAATGTGGGGATTTGAATTTGAGAGTCTTTGGGTTGATGTCACAGTATCGAGGTTGACTTTTGTGGGCTCCTTGAGATTTCAAACAGCAGAGAGGAATCTATTCTTTTAGGTGACTGTTTTGAAATGCACAGGTGAATTCTCAGCATCTGCTTTACTAGCCCTCAAACAAACAAGCAACCTTCCCCCCAAAAATCCAAAATCTAATTTCAAGAGAAAATTTTTTTGAATAGACTGATTCAGTATATTAATGATTGTTGTTTGCACAGGGTGTTCAGAGTTGCCCCTTCTGAATTCTAGTATGTCTAACTAAATATGCTGACTCTTGATCTTTCTCTTTACACCTTTCATTTCTTTCAGTCCTGCCCCATTCTGTGTCCTGAATATTTCTCTTCTGTGCTCCATAAAACCTGTAAACTCTTAAAATGGAAATATTCTGTCCTTTTTCTAAGTACTAACTTATGGCTCCAATAAGATCCCATTTCCTGATAGCTCAGAAATAAGACATAAATGAGTAAATTCCTTTTAAAATTTGACCAATTAGTTTCTACTATCACCCAGACTCCTTAGGGCATACATACACAAATGCATAAGCATTGAAACTCAGGTTAAACAAATAAGCAAGTTTGTAATTTTTACGTGGGGTATATGTTATAAAAACACAAATTGATTTACATTATTTAAAAGGTATAATAAAGTGTCAATAAAGGAAGTTATTATATTGAAGACAATCATCACTTCTTACTGAGAAAAGTGGACTTTGTTCAACACCAATAATTTTCTATCTTATGTAACATTTGTATTATCTTTTGACCAAAGTGTATTTACTTACACATTTTAATTTAATCAATTGAACTAGAATGCATTCATAGAAAACACTAAGGGGACTGTGCATACATTTATAATTTACCTCAGTGAGAAGGTATAGCATCAAATGTTCACAATAAGCTAATATTACTTTATTTTGCTGAAGTTCATCATTTTAAGATAAATAATAGTTTGTTGTGTTGGAAATTTTTGAGGGTTTCTTTACATCAATGGTTCTCAACCTCTGGGTTTTGACCCTATTGGGAGTTTCATGTCAATATCCTGAACATCAGATATTTGCATTATGATCCATAACAATAGCAAAATTATAGTTATGATGTAGCAAAGAGATAACTTTATGGTTAGGGATCACCACAACATGAGGAACTGTCTTAAAGGGTCAGGTCTCTGCATTAGAAGCTTAAGAACCAATGCTTTAGATAATAGACAGTTTTTAGAAATCATCTTATAAGAAGAAAACAATTTTCTATTTCTACCTGACTATATAGATAAATAGAAACTCATATTTATCTCTTAGTACATCTTATTGAGAGAGGTATTGAAACTTCTACAAACTTTATAAAGCAAATGATTTAATTCTGGGTGATTTCACTCAAATTGTAGACTTAGATAAGCACTCTTTCCTATTGACTTACTGCTGCCTAGGAGCAAGAAGGTAGGGGCACAAGGAAATTGAAGCCAGGGTGTAGCATTAAGGAAAACTGATACAGTCCTTGATGAGGAGTAATCACTATAATGTTTTGCTGGAAGCAATTTGGTAACACATTACCAATGCATACAGATATCAGTGTTTGTATTTTAAATACATATTAAGAAAATAATATGAAAACATATGTATATATGTGCACACGTCTACGTATTATGCCAGCATTTAAAATGACCATGCATATCAATTTAAATAATTTTCAATATATTTTAAGTATTTAAACATACAGATACAAAATTCCATGGTGCATCAAATGAGTGTTGACATTTAAATAATAAGAAACCATTATACATTATGTGCATAGCAGATATCAGTGATTTATTGAGTATTTTCTTTCCATGACTTCATTTTGCAAGATTTAGTGCTTTAAGAATCAATGTTGAATATATACCTAATGAATTTTTGATCAATCTGACATTTTTGTGCATGCATTACACAAATTTCCCCTCATGACACTTACCTTTGGTAAGGAAGCCCGGGATCCAGAACTCTGTGTCGTCATAGTAAGCACGGTGGTAATGCCCAAAGCTACCCTCGCTGGGGCTGCATCCATGTTAATCCAGAATGAGACCCAGGATAGAATAACAATCAGAAGGCTGGGAATGTACATCTGGATCAAGTAGTAGCCCATCTGCCGCTCAAGATGGAATCTCACTTCTATGCATGTAAACTTTCCTAGTTGTTCATAAAATAAATGCAACCATTAAATAAAAGCCAAGTTTTGTCATGCCATCAAATGTGACTTAATTTTTATAATATTTTTACTGTAAGAATTTCCTCTAAAATGGAGACATACATATTCAAATTGGGTTTTGTGTTTTATTTTATTTTATTTTTTCTGTTTATATCTGGGAGCAATGTGACAAGGGAGTGAGCTCTTCCAAGAAATAGTATGCAATCTTATTTTCATGTTCAAATAGCTTCTCATACTTGTCAAAGTGCTCAAAGACTGTGTTTTTGTTTCAGTTTCTAACACTTGTTCTGAGTTGTATAGAACAAAGCACATTTATTATGTAAAGGTTATCTACATTTTGTGTTTCAGGAGCTTCATGTGCTTATTTAGTCAACTGCTATTGTTTCAGAGAACTTTACACATCCTCTAAGTGCTAAGAGATAAATGCAAATGGAGATGAGTGTTTTCATAACTAATACTACAGAAAACTAAATATGTATTATTTTGCTTTAATAACTTTTGAGATATATTTAGAACAAACTGAAAAATAAATTAGTTATATACACTGTATAAATGTATCCCTTTATGCCTTTGTTACATACCTCTTTCTGCAAATAAATGTTGTGAATGTTTGACTCAACATGACATTAATATGTCTACTTATCCACTGGCTCTAATTCTATTCATTTATTTCTACTACTTTGTTATCAGTCCTTCAAATGAATGGCCTTCTAAGTGATTTGATTCTTGGATTTATTGTCTATATTTTTAGTAGGATGATGTCAGAAAGCTCATTTTCTCTTTAAGTATTCTTTGATACAAGTTAGTTACACATGTGAATGAAGACATTACCAGATATTTCTATATTATTTTGAGCAGTGTAACTTGGGGATACTTTCATCTCCTGTATCATACAAATACTAGACAACTTGGTCTTCTGGAAAATTCTTGCCCAATTAATTGCTTGAACTAAGTACTCATAATTGTGGGCTGAAATATAAAGGTAGGCAAATGTACTTTCTGCTAAGATGAGTCTCTTGACCATGTATCATCAAAATTCTCACCCAGATGAGGTCTACAGAGTCAGCTATCATTCTCTGTTGAGAGTCCTTTTAAATTTACATCATTGGAGAATCTGTGAATTTAGCTTTATTTGCAAACAATTGACTTGAAGATATAATCAATTTAAAATGAATTCTGTTCTGTATTAATGGGGCTCTATTCCAATATCACTGATGTCCTTATAGAACTAGAGATATTTGGATACAGAGACACAGTTGCATGCATGTGACAATGGAGAAAGAGACTAAAGTGATGTGTTTGTAAGTCAACAAAAACCAAGAGTTGTTAGAAACAGGAAACTAAGAAAAGGCCAGGAAAGGAACCTTTCTTGGAATCTCCAGAGTAACATAGTTTTCTGTTACTTGATTTTTTTGTATTTAGCTTCTAGAGCTATGAAAGAATGAAATTATGTTGCTATAATCTACCAAATGTATGGTAGCCTGTGATTACAGTCTGATGAGACTAATGTACAGCTCTATACTACCTCTGGAAATCTTTCAGCATATCCTATATGAAGTTACCAGTTTTTCTGTCCTTAGAGAAATGGGCAAGGGCAGTGCCATTGACTTGCATGTTGTTTAATTTTATGCTTAGATGTTAACCTTGAACTTGCTCATAAATTAGGTAACACATTTATCTGTGAGTTGAAAATGATAATTAAAAATTAGATATTGTGAGTTATCTAAGGAGATAAGGGAGACTAGGACTTTATGGGAGGAAAATGGAGTTTACGGTTCTGGAAATACCGAGGTCACAATGAATCATACTTTACCATAAAGACACAGTAAGAGTTACAGCTGATGTTAGCATGCTAGCCTCAGGCAATATGCACATCTCACTGGGGGAAGCTTTACTTGTGAGAGTTTAATGGCATTTGTAGTTGGGATACATTTATGGGAATAGTCCACAACAGTTACGAGAAGTGAATCAATTTCATAAGGGTATAAATACCACATTAAGTTTCTTAATCCTTGGTGTTAGTTGTTAAATATGATATCGACTCAAGACAAAGGGTTCCTCTATCAGTCCAAGAAGTAACTAAAAGTATAAATTAATAAAAATAGTTAAAGAAATAAAAAATAGAAAAAATGTTTGGAATGCATGGAAAATGATGTAATTATTTAAAATAAGTCCTTTTGTTAACATATACAGTGTTTATATCCAAAAATAGTTTAATATTTTTCTATAGAAATGAAACATGCTTATAAGTATCACACCATCCACATATGTGTTGTTCCATAAAGAATTTTCTAGTGTAACTGAGCATCAAGCAATTCTTTGATCTCATACAAATCAAATATGACAAGAATCAATGAGGGAAATCACCCATAAATTTTGAAATTTTCCATTTTTTATTCCATGAGCTAAAACTATTAATATTAACATGACATTGCAATTTAATTAATCTCCATATTGTAAGATGAGAAATCATAATCATAGAGAAAAATACTCAGTCCCTACCTGTATTGTAGTGTTTAGTGCAGTATCGCAAATCTTTTTCTTCTTTCAACAGAAATTGAGGCAAAGTGAGTCCTTCGGCTACTTGTACTGGTGCCTCATCTTGCCATTCAAAAATGAGATCATTCATTGTGTACCCAACTAGACAAAATGGTATAGAAATGTTTATATCAAAGGAAGACATTCAAACAAAACAGTAAGAATTTTTCTGTGTAGTCAACACATGGAATGAGAGGATCACTAATCACTAATCTGCTTGTGTGTCCCAAGTTCCAACAAGGATAAATGGTCTGAAAAATGCAAGTTTATTATGTTTGGTAGAGATGATAAAAAATATGTATGGAGTAGTTTGACATGGTGGTTATGAGTTCAGCATAAACATATCAAATGAGTTTTCAATAAGTCAGAAATGTTTATTAAGTTAAAGTTTCAGATTTCTCTTTGGATGGGCTTAATATAAGCAGAATTTTTGTCATTTTCCCAGGTGAATGAAAACTTATGGAAATTTATGTTTCAGTGCTATTTTAGTGGAGGAGTCTGAGTGAATGTGAACAACATTTGTTCTGATCTGTCAATTCTACAGATATAGAAAGAGAAAGGAAACCTGTTATGATTCCTGATTTAAGTCAATTAATTAAATTAGTAAATTATTCATATCTATGGATCTGTATACAGAGGAGTTTGTAGCAAAATTTTATGCAGTGATTGAGCACAGCTTTTGTGGATAGGTTAGGCAATGGATAAGAGGGAAGCTTATCACTCTCCACTCATTTAAAATCTTCCAGACAGAGTGGAATCTCATCTAACTGTAGAGGCAATTAGGCATGCTTAGTAGTATGCATTCTGTGGGTGGACAAGACAGTAGTGACAAGAGTTTCAGTCATCAAATCTTCTTAGCAGGTCTAGAATTCAGGTAACATGTTTTCACAGGTGCCATCTGTGTTTTGTTTCATTATGGAGCAAGAAATATTTGGTAACATCTGTATGGTCATCCAGATCGAAGGGTATCATGTCTGAATTTTGCATCAAAAATAGATAATGTATCCCTAGTGCACAAATGGACTGTGGGATCCCATTCCCCATGGAGGGCTACTCTCTCAGCCTAGACACACAGAGGAGGGTCTAGGACCTCCCCCAAATGATATGACAGACTTTGATGACCCCTCATGGAAGGCCTTATATTCCCTGGGGAGTGGCTGGGGAATGGGGTGGGAGGGTCCGTGGGGAGCATGGGAGGATGGGAGGAAAAGGGAACTGGGATTGATACATAAAATAGTATTGTTTCTAAATAAAAAATTGAATGCCAAAAAATATATATGCAACTATATTGTTTCCTAGATCAGTGATTCTCAACTTCCCTTATATTGTGACCCTTTATTACAGTTCCTCATGTTATGCTGACCTGAGCCATAAATTTATTTTTGTTACTACTTCAATTTGTAATATAACCTCACTTCAAAACTCTTGTGACACACAGGTTGAGAACCACTGCTCTAGACCTAATGAATGATTTATTTATCCTAGACTATCTTTCAAGGAAATATAAAATTAATGATTGGATTAGTAATAAAAGAATGATTCACTCTTCTTTGTGTTTTTTTCAAGACAGGGTTTCTCTGTATAATTTTACCTGTCCTGGAACTTACTCTGTAGACTAGACTGGCCTTGAACTCACAGAGATCCTCCTGCCTCTGCCTCCCTGAGTGCTGGGATTAAAGGTATGCTGATATGCACTATCATTGCCCAGTAAGAATGATTCGCTCTTATTCATAATTCCTCTAATACATGCATTATAGATCATACTCTGCTTAAAGCCAACACAGATGCATATTTTTCAATGATCTAACAACAGTAAGATAAGCATGTTTTATCTGCTGCCATTTGAGATATATATCTTAAATCCATACAAAGAATCACAGAAGACAAAATATTTTAGATTATCCTTTCCCAATTTAGACAGATGAATGAAAAGATAAATAGATAAGTCAAACTTCTTCCAGCTGAGGCATAATAAAGGCTTTGTAAAAATCTTCTGGAAACAGAAACTAGCTGCCTGAAATTCCATTGAAGCCAAGCTCTATTTTTTTCTCTCATCCAGTTTATACAAGCACATATAACTTGTTATTGTAGTGAAGAACTATTCACATCAAATGATAAGATGGATGGACATTTTACAGCCATATTACTGTATTTATTTACAACTCACATGAGTTACCTAAAGCTTGAAAGCCTTAGGTAAATAATGAGATGACCATGTTTAAAGTGTATTTCCTTTATACTGAGAGTTGAAGGAAGCTTAATGGTGTTTTTGCCTCACTAAACTTCAGACACACTTTAATTGATTCTCTTCCCCAGAGTCTGAAGTGTTTTAATATCATTTTCCTTTGGCTAACAAATCTTTATAAAAGCTTAAGAATATGAAGGAAAACAGACTTAGTAATGAGAGCAAGGTGATAAATTCATTTACCTTGAATTGAATAATTATCTCACAATGAAAAAATAATTTACATGAAGAACAAAGATTTTAACCTGAACTTGACCAACAATTTTATTTGGTGACTATGGTGAAACCTGCAAATGGATGTCTCAATTCTTGCTTTTTCAACAAGTATTTATCAAGTACCAACTGTCAGTAAGTCATTCCGCTCCATTTGACTTAGACCTTGAAAGCAATGAATGGCCCCTGAATGAAGAATGCAAAAGAAAAAGAACCTCAGGAAAAAGGCAAAGTAAATTTGTTTGAAATAACCTAAAAAACACACAAGATTTATAGTAGATATTGGAAATGTCCCTTTTCATTCATATCTAGTGCATACAGAAGCAGATGAAATGGACAGACAAATCAATACATGTTTGTGTTGGGTTAAAATATGAGTTGAAAATTTGAGTTTCTAAAAATACCTGTAAGTAAAATTATGAGATAAATATCTTTAGAGAAAGGAAGTGATGTCACAAAATAGCACTTTATAGCACAACAGTAGCCAGATCCTTTCATACAATTCACAAGGCCCATATGGTCATAATAATATTATTTTAACAAATAATATTATTTGTTATTTTAATTGTTCTAATATTTTTTCCCATGTTGAAACAGTGGTAGGTAATGTTTTAACACAACACAGAAAGTGGCACAAGGCTGTGCTGGTGTGTTCCTAAGTGCTATATCCCTTGAAAAAGAATGCTATTTTCATTTAACCATGCTCATGTTTGATGAAGTAGTAAATACCTTGCTGTAAAAGCAATGCTTTAAAAGTGTCCTTGATCTTTGGATCAGTAACAAGTACTAATCTACTACAGACTGATCCTTATGTAAATATCCTTGTAATCTTTGTGGAAACTTGGGAAGCCTGTATATAGTATTTGTCTGTGTACTGCATATAAGGAGCAGCATTAGTTGATTTTGGGACAAACTGAACTAGAATTTTTTTCTTGTTTTGTGTGGGTGTGTGTGCACATCATTTTTACTTGTGAAATGTGAAATGTGAAAAGTGAAATGATATATTAACAATGTTTCTTAGGTACTGAAAAGTCCACTTGTAAAAATATACATGCTATGTGCATACCTTGGGAAGAGAACTGGTAATAGTCTGTGAATAATAGATTCTGAAATTTTAAGCCAAAATTAGATGATTGAGAAATTATTTTATGCAAAACTGCTTGAACAACCAAGAATCTAAGACTAGATAGCCCAGGGAATAGGGTAAAACCAAACACAAGAAAAGAGAAAAAACCCAGGCAAACAAACAAACAAATCTCTGGTAAAATATTCTGTTACTCATAAACCAGTGTCTTACCCATAGCTAAACACTGAGCTGAATTCTGGAATCCAGTTGCAGAGAGGGGGGAGTGATGAGCAAAGGGGTCAAGGCCAGGCTGGAGAAACCCACAGAAACAGCTGACCTGAACAAGGCAGAGCTCATGTACCACAGACTGACAGCTGGGAAATCAGCATAGGACTGTTCCAGATCCCTTTGAACAAGGATGTCAGTTTGGAGGTTTGGTTAATCTATGGGGCCTCTAGGAGTGGATCAGCATTTATCCCTAGTACAGGAATGGACTTTGGGAGCACACTCCACATAGAGGGATGTTCTCTCAACCTAGACACACGGGGGAGGGTCTAGGCTCTGATCCAAATGATATGACAGACTTTGATGATCCTCCATGGAAGGCCTCACCCTCCCTGGGGAGCAGAAACAGGATAAGTGTGGGTCAGGGGAGGAGGGGAGGGAGAGGGAATTGGGATTGACATATAAAACAGAAAAAAGAAAAAAGAAAAGAAAACAACAACAACAACAAAAACAGTGTCTTGTTCAGCCATCATTAGGGAAACTGCCTCCTGAAGCAGATGGGAACAAACACAGAGACCCAGACAGACATTATGCAGAGAGTGGGAAACTCTGGCTTAAGTGGATGTCTCCATCAAATCCCTCCCCTTAGAACAAAGAGAACACTGTAGAAAAGGAAGTGGAAAGGGTATAAGAAGCAGAGGGGAAGAAATCAAAGACCTCAAAATCAACATGATTGATACACATATGAACTCACAGAAACAGAGGCAGCATGCACAGGGTCTGCAGGGTCTGCACCAGATGGGGTCCTAGAGCTGAAGGAAGAAGTGGACACATGCCCCCATCTGTAACTCAGAAGCAATCTACAATTGATAACTACTTGCAAAGGAACATAACACCAATAGCACAGACACTGAGATCGGCAATTAATAAATGGACCTCCTGAAACTGAGAGGCTTCTGTAAGGAAAAGGACACTGTCAACAAGACAAAACAGCAGCCCACAGAGTGGGAAAATTTCTTCACCAACCCCACATCTGACAGAGGGATGATCTCCAAAATATACAAAGAACTCAAGAAGCTAGTCTCCAAAACACCTAATAATCCATTTAAAAAGTGAGGTACAGAGCTAAATAGAGAATTCTCAATAGAGGAATCTAAAATGGCTGAAAGACATCCCTATCCATCAGGGTAATGCAAATCAGAACAATTCTGAGATACCATCTTACTCCTGTCAGAATGGCTAAAATCAAAAACACCAATGACAGTTTATGCTGGAGAGGATGTGGAGGAAGGGGAGAACTTCTCCATTTCTGCTGTGAGTGACAACTTGGACAACCTCTTTGGAAATCAGTAT